AAACCTACTTATCTCTTATGATATTTATAGAACATTATCAAGTCAAATCATCTTGACAAGTGTCAATGTAAACTGAGATCATAGCAAGATAATATCTTATTATGATTCCTTCGTTTATCAAGTGCGGCCTGTTGGTCTAGGGGTATGATTCTCGCTTCGGGTGCGAGAGGTCCCGGGTTCAAATCCCGGACGAGCCCTATATTTTTATGTCAGAGGAAATATATTAGTAATTGAATATATTTCAAATATTGTGTAGATGTTGTATAGATGCAAACCTTATTGTAATGATATAAATTTATATTTTTGTGCACTAAACAAAGTTTTTTTATGAATCGTTCAGATGCTTTAGAAACAATTAGTCAGGTTTGTATTCTAAGGGAAATAGATATGTCTCAAGAGCTTAATTTGCACGAATATAAGAGAGGAGGCACGTGTATTTCTACTTTTTTCTTTGATATCTAAACATTTGCATTTTTAAAATGAAACAAAGGGATGCTATTCAAAACCAAACAAATTGTTAATATGGCAAAATTATGCTTCATATACAAAACGGATAGCGTGTCCTTTTATATATTACATATATTTCTATTTGATTCAATAATGTTTGAAAAGATTTTACATTTCAATAATATTATGAAACTTGTATATATGTTATTTCTACGTACTACTTAAGCTAATAGAAGAAAACATTCAACAGCTTTGCGCAGTGGCGGTACCATAGCCAATGAGGTTCATCCGAGGCGTGGTTATTGCTAGTTGAAAACTATACCCAATACCCCGCGCCGACGCCCTGAAACATGGGCGGCGAGCGCAATTTATGAACGTTCCTACGGGGACTGAACATTTCATTGAAACAAGGAAATTTCACAAGAAAAATCATATTGTTGAGAGGGACCTGTTTATATCAGGTATTAGTACTATGCTTTGTATAAATATTTGCTTATATGGGTTAGGAATTTACTCCGTTATGCCATAACTAATTCAATATTACTTGACTAAATATAAGTTAATTTTTTAATAAGTTAAGCAGATATATTTTGCGTCAATAATTCTTGCCAACATGATTCGCGTTTTGTATGTTAAAGGATTATATTAATTCTTCTTCTTCTCGCACCCACCCAATCGAGAATTATACCCCTAGACCAACGAGTCGTATATGTGTCATGATTTATTTATAAAAGCTGAATACCGAATAAAGGCACATTATACCTAAGAAATAAATAAATTTTTACCATCTAAAATGGGGGCAGTGATGAATGTTTTAATGTCTTAATAATATTTTCAGAGAATGATTGATGCTTGTTACTTGAAGAAAGAGACTTTGCTATTGAAACAATCTGCTTCTTACTGTTTCAACACCACGTTATCCCAAATCAGTAGATTCTCACCAAATAATAAAGTATTGTCCGATGATTGTATAGCATAGAAGCAAAATTCTACATATTCTTGTGAAGAAGATGGTGTGGTCATATGTTGATATATTTCCTATGTTCCTTAAATATAGCGCACTTTAGAAAAGGAATGTACTCGATCATCATTATGAAAGCCACAGTAACTTGACTATTTTCTATATAATTATCTATTACACAAATTTTATATCTCCAACATTTCGAGGGATTAAACCCCTCTTTTTCAAGGAGTTTCTTTTTATTTTTCAAATCACATATTTATCTTTTTACATGCCTTATCTTACACAGTGTAGCGTTGGAGATATAAAATTTGTGTAATAGATAACTATTAACTAACTGTTTCCAGTATGAATTGACTATTTTGGTTACTATGATGATATATCTCATTTGACATTACAGCATTTATGTTGTATGGCGTATATTTGCAGGGAAACAAGGGCGTTTCCTCAACGGAATCTGATAAATGGTGTTTTACCAGTTAGCTCCAGAAAATGGTTGTTTTTTGTTGTTGTTTTTTTTTTCTTCAAAAATTCTTACAACGTATACAGAAAGATTTTTTAAAAAACAACAACAACAACTATGCCATCGTCGTCTCTGGGCCATTTTCCTTGGGCTAAAAGGTTTGTTGTAAAAGAGAACCTGCTTTCTATAGCAAGGGCTAATCCGCTACAAAAAGTGTTTTATATTTATAAAAATATGAAGTATACTTATCAAAATTGATTTTAATATAATGTCTTCAACTTGAAATTGCATCTCAAAATGCTTCAATACCGATGAAAAGGAAATAATTCTATAACGCTATCTATATTTTAAACATATCAGTTTACTTTCCCTTGCTATTAAAGTTTACTTAAATACATCTTGAATTTTAAATATGAATTTCAAAACATACATAAACCACCAGTACACTTTGTGTATTATTTAGCCAAATTAGGCAAAATTACAAAATGAAATTAATAATTAACCAACCATAGTGGCATACAGCAAAGACCAAAACTGTCCAGAATTCTGTCATGGGATAACTATGCTCTTTCTGTACGATCAAATTTATTCATATTCAACTCTCAATGGATATGATAGAAAGGAGACACAAACAACCTAAGCATTCCAACCCAACCAAATGTATATACATATATCTACTATCTACACATAAAAAAGCTATTATTCCAAAAGATGCAAACCATTCTACTTTACCACCTGTACAAAGGCTAATGGGCAAAGAATAAACAGAGACCGAGCGCACATATTGTCCTACCTACAGCCTTTTTTACGGTCAATGCAGTAAATTGTCAAATACATCTAAAATATCTGAAAATTTTATAGTGCTTGATAAAGCGTTATTGTCATTTATCTACGTCAATTTGTTTATATTTGATTAAGATATATTCATTTATACATGTGCATGAACAATTTTTCTTTATCACGAATTTAATCTTTTATGATATCAGTACATAATAGAACAGAAAATGTTGTTATCATATAATATGATTTGAACATAAGAGTTAAATGCTATCACATATACATTAATATATATAACCTACATTACTTAACAACATAGCAAGAGTGAAAACAGAAAGTTCTTAACAAGTGGATGTAACCAATTGTCATATCAATTAAAATTATAGCAATTTTCATTAAAGTGACATGATGACATTATGCTCATTTTTTTTTCATTTTCAAGTTGAGCTGAATTGACTATATATTTCAAATGATCGACTGTTATATGGTGATTGAAACAATTCATATCGGAAAATGTTTTTGATAAAATATAAATCTGCCTAAAATATATAAAGAGTGTCATACTCTTTCTTTAAATTGAACGTTACTGGTACATTCCTATGGGTATTTACAGATATTGCCTTGGACCAAGTGAATTATTGTTATTCGTTTATGCAAAGTAAGTTATTAAATTGAAAGGAATTATGGCAAAATTAACATTTACCAAGATGGGCATAATGTCACTTTAACTGATAACAAGGATCTGTAAGTGAATCTAAAAGTAGCCTAAATATGTTTGATAGAAGGATATCCTTTGCCACCAGACAAATATATTGACATAAATAAAAACGGTTTATCAATACAAGCACGGTTATTAAATTTTAAACTTATTTTACCAATTTTATATTGAACAATTTGAACAATTTGTTATTGATAACACTTCATAAATTGTACATATTGTTTAACCTACATCATAATCTGTAAATGTTTTCGGTTAATTACGTTTCGGACAGTGTATATACAGTACATATTGAAAGAAGGAAGTATCCCTTTACCTGTTATTTCTATTGTTGTTAAAAGTTGGCTATGACTTACATTAAATTTGCTCATCACAATGGAAATTTTACGTGAAAATTTAATAAATGTCAACGTGTAAATATATCACAAACTTTAGCTAAGAAAACAAGAAATTGTAGAAAACATTTCATCGTCTTCATTTCGTCATGTAGCTTTTCATATTTTGCACGATCAATCTAACAATGACTGTGTCTTTAATGTGAAAGGCATTTTTAATAGTTACAATATATGTGTGTTTTTTTTAATATTAAACAACTTACAAAAGATATACGTTCCATTGTAACCAAGGATATAACATTTAATTTATCTAAAAACTGATATATTCCTTTCAAATTTCATATAATAGGATTGTACATTAAAGAACATATACATGTATTGTACTGATCACTATGTTCCGCTTTTTTACATCAGTATGAAGATTGTCAAAATTATGAACAAAGATCTGTCTCTATATTTTTATTTCATATTTTAAAAATGTCTCAATATTTTAATTTCATATTCTAAAAAATGTTTAAACATTATTACACTTTTTCAATGAAATTGCATTTCTGTTCAGTTTTCTTAAATGATGGAAAATAACTAATATTTTAATCGCTCAAATGTGTAAATTCTGGTATACGTTTATATTTAAATAACACCAATGAAATATCGTCACTACTGATGTAAGTAAAGATCGTATACAGAGCATCTATCATTTTTATGCCAAAAATAAACAACATAAAAAGTATATACTACAAAGATGTTTCACATTAATTTATATCACTGGTCTCTCCGGTGTCTGTACGTTTTAAAGATATAAATTATAGGAAAAACAAGCATAACCCAATCAACAAAGGAATAATAGCGAGTTGATGATGCTAAAAAGTAGTCAACATTTGCAAATTTATCAAAGGAATCTGTCTGCCATGCTTCGATTGTACCTGGAATTATAGATTTAAATATCTGTAAACATCATCTAGACAACATGCAATTTTATAAACCTTTAAGTCGGCTGTTTTCTGAGGTTTTCACTACTGTTCTTAAAGCTGTAACAAATTAATCGTTTTTTGCTGTATGCGCTAGAACTAGATATAAATGTCTATGTCAAGTTATTTAGACTTAATGTACAACATAATAGAACATTTCTTGATCTTATATATCTTTAAGGTCCATAACAAATTTCAAGCTGATTTGTCATTATTCTAATAATGATAGCTATTCTAATAGGTATATTTTGTTACTTAAATTTATTTTCAATAATGACTATGAAACAATGCCTTACCAAATACAGAAACAATAACTGAGCTGCAAAGAATAACAACAACACATCCTTCAAACGAGCAACACATCACTAGTGCTGTAGATAGGTCGAAAATGCCTTTCCCAATATGACAAGTAGGAAGCATTGTAGCGCTTGTCCAGTAATAGACGCCTGAATTGAAATACAATGTGATAAAGTAAACTTCTGCAATGTGTTTAAATGCATGCACATACTCGTTATAAAGATCTTACATGGCAAATACCACGACGTTGCAAGTAACCAGTTATGTAACATTAGTTCTATTAAAGGAACTCCTCTGACCTTAGTTGTTTATTTTATTGTTTTTATTTATTTTGACATGACGGTACTGGAAATATTTTTAATGTTGCATTTCATGTTAGTCTAGACCAATAAAGTGTGTGGAAAATGTCAGATCATTCGCTCACTTCGTTTTCCAGAATAATTATTCTTATTGTGAATAGAATATCCCAAATTACTCAAATCGTTGTACGAATGGCACAGAATACGATTTTCGATTTATATGTATATATCAAACTATGAATTTAACATTCCTTCTTTAAGCTTTTGTATCCCTTAAGACACTGTGAATTTACGATTTCTACTCATCCATTAAGGTTAGATTTCGAAATTTGCAAAGTATGTTGAATGTCAATAAAAGTAATTCATTTCCTTACCTAGGACAATTCTAGTTATACTGACCAGACAAAAATGTATCACCGCAACTGAAGAATAAAATAAAATAAATTAAAACAGACAACTTTTATTGTTAATTTATTTTGTTAAAATGATTTGTGTTTTAAATTGTTTTATCTTAGACATAATTCTAAGTTAATCAGTATTTATTATTGCTGTTAAACATCAGATATTAATTCACTCTATCAAATCTATCAAATACTGGGTGTAATTAGCATACTATCATTTTTGTCAATGAGCTTAAGATTTTCTTTTTAGAATAAAATTAGATTTTACCTAGAATACATATCCCGTACATCATTTGCGAGCACTCATTTCCTGTTGCAAAAAGAAACAAAACTTGTCGAGCTATATCAGTTAATTATACTGTCAGAATATTTATAATATATCTTAATGAATTAGTCTTTAACTAAATTATCATTCAATATTCTACTTTTCATATCACATATGCTTACATCTTTTAACAAACATATAAATATTTCAAATTAATAATTTGTTGTTTATTTGTGCGGTTCTGATTAGAAACGCGGTTGGACACTTAGTAACATGCTTATGAGCATATTAGGGAATCCAACAGCATGAGGAAATGAAAAAAATGCTAGTTTGGAGTGATTGAACCAGCTCATTAGCGGCAGTGATGTTAACGCAAACTACCGTCCATGCCCTCAGCAACTGCCTAAGAAAATAAAATCATTTTTATTATGAAATGGTGTTAATCAGGATTAAGAAACAAAAGCAAATGTATTCATACAGCAATGATCAAGGAACCTTCAATGTGACAATTTCGTGCCGTTGTTGCATTTATAAACAGAATGAAGTAAAATATATGAAAGGTATAACGTGGTCTTCTGTTTGCACAATGAGTTTTGTATAAGTCGTATACGTTTAAAGTTTTCATGTTGATAAATCCATATTTACTTAAGAATGAGCACATCCTGCGTTCCGGCGTATGAACAAGTATTGGAAGCACCTCGGACGGTTCTGTTTGTGGTACGGCTGGAATGACTACAACCGACGTTTCTGGTGCACAGACTGCACACGCAAATGTTTCTACATGATACTTTTGTCTACACAATGGACATCTAAAAGTGTTGTCTTGCGAACTTAAAAATGAATGGATAAGAATTATGAAACCTAGCTTTATAAGCATGAAATGTAAGAATGACATAACATTAAATTCATCCACCAATCTGAATCACGAGAAACAATGTCTTGCTTGTTAACTTAAGGTGTCTGTCACTCTATCCATGTTTTCAAGGCTAACACGAGTGGCGACCACTTTTTACTTATGACACTTATACTGATTTTCAAGAAACGGTCTTGGAAATGGGTTCAAATAAGTTTCATTTTTTTTTCAAAATCGAGGTTAAATAAAAATATTTAACTTAGTCATAGCAAATTTTATTTTATTCAGTCGATAAAATGCACGCATATAATCGTAATAATCATTTTATTGTAGTTAACTCTACACAATTAAATATTGTTGCTAAGTGGTATAACATATATAACTATTGATATATATATAACCATAAGATAACCAAGCATTATCTGTTCATGCAATCAATTAAGACTGACATCCTACCTGTCAAGAATATTCTGTAGACATGGTTTAGCACAGAAGGGATGCATACATGGCAGATGTGTTGGTTCTTTGTAAATTTCTAGGCATATTGCACATTTATCTTGGTCGTTAGTCAGTGATGATTCAAGAGTATAAATTTTAAGATCCATGTTTTTCAGTACATGTGTTCAGGAAAATACTAATCAAACACATCAAGAAGCGACTAAATGTAGCTCCTATTACAGGTCAAGATGCACAATATTTTGCATCAAATTTTAAAAAAATTCTTTGTTAATTAGAGTAATTTAGTTAAAGCACAACGTTCGTCAATTACATAATGTGTTCGTTGAAACGTTTTAGTGACAATATCAAGCTATTTATTCTCTTCTTTTTTGTTAAGGGTATTGTTTTAAACTATTTATAATATAATCAAACAATGAGAGATGATTTAGTGTCCTACACCTTCTTATGTCATAAACTCTGATAAGAAAATAATAAGTTAAACCTACATATACACAAAAATATTTTAACGCATAATCATTTAGTGTTTATTTGTAATATGAAACAATTCAAAAATGTTGTTGACTTACTAGTAATTAGAGATAAAATTTCTAGATTTACCTAATTGTTGTGAAGGTACAAATTACTGAATATTCATATTTCACATAAAAATATTTACGTTGATAAATGAATAGTTTCGGTTATAAGTGATTAAACAATTTATAAACCTGCAAAAGATATAAGGACTCTATGAAATATTGATATAATATCAACTGAATTAGATTGACTTAATTTTAGTTGCAATGTCTAAAGATGATAGGTTTACAATGAGCAAAGTTTTCCATCAAAATTTCAAATATATTTAATAATTGATAACAACAATATTTATTGTGTAATTAGATATTTGTATAGAATAATTATGTAAATTTATTGTTTAACTGTTGATGAAGTTCTTAGGCATTTTGTACGAATATCAATATATTGAATAATAATATTTTGTTCAAACTGCTATATATTTAAATATGTAATATCAGATATTTTGTCCCACACTAACATCCATATTATACATATCATGGACCTATTCATGGACCTAAAAATTATTAAAAGGCGTATTTTTGCATTGTAAAAATACAACATTTTGATATGATTTTAGAGACTTTGTTATGAGATATTTTTACATATACTGTCACAATAGTTGTTTTATCTATGTTTAACTAATTATTATCTTTTACAATACAAAACTTGAGCCTTTATACGACTTAAGTTATATGAAAATATTTTCATATCTGTTAAACAATACTTTGTGGGCAGTTTTTACAAACACTTCAAATATACCTACAGTTTAGTGTTTTGAAATGAAGCTAAAAAATATATTGTAAATTTGTGATTAAACATTCATTACGAATTATCACTTGTTTTGAAGTAATTCCTTAATTACATAAAAAAAACTTACTAGGCCATATTCATTGCCAATTTTACTTCTTGTACTGTAAGTAAACTTTCAATTTAATTAACGTCTTGTCTGACTGTCATTAAGACACATGTTATTAGATAGTGTGATAAAAGCTTCGAAAATACAGGCAAACATATCATTTGGTTGATTAAACATTCCGGTAAAATTTTGGAAAAATTTGATATTTAGAACTGTCAAGTTTCAACCGTCAGTACATACGATTTTTCTACCCTTTTCTACAGTTCCACATAAACTAATAAATGCTGATCTAATTTCCCTTATTCAAAAACCTGTTGCAAGTGAAAAAGTACATTTTACGCGAAAATCTATAATAAGAGAGATGGCTAGGGATAAGCCAACCTGATTTTATAGAGATGTGACTTACATAAATTCTTGTTTAATGGTTACATGTTCTATGACCTCCTCTAAAATAATTAAACGTAAGATTAGAAGAGGATATGATTCGACTTTTTGAAGACATACCGCATGCTTAATATTCAAACTTTTACAGCTGAACACTACACTTTCCTCTTTTGATTGCATCGGACGGACCAAGTAGAAGACTCCATAATGTCATTGTAACGCTGTTTATTTATAAAATAATGCTGCAGAAGTAAAGCTTACATATTCGGTCGGAAAGTAGCGAGCTACCTTAAAAAGAACATGTTGGATCTTAAAGTGATGTCTGGTGCACCATTAACCGGTTTCAACTCCACAGAAGTACCCATGCTGCTGACCGTTCCATTGTGGCGCCCTCTGTGTTTCTCAAAATTTTCTCAGATGTATGTATTTTTATTGCAACAAGTAATTGTGGTGACACGTTTGTGTTCCTTCTTATCTTTATCGTCTAGGTACGATCATCCTTTTTCTCATATTATTTTTTTCTTTTCAATTCGCCTTCCCTGTCCGGACAACTAGTCCCTTCCTCTACGCTTATACGTTTTTTTAACCTTTTAACTTATCGTCTTCATTAATTTCCTTGTCAGTTTCTATGATTTGCATTTTTTATATTTAATTTGTATCCCCGTCCGTGCTGTGTCCATGTACCCTGTTCTGTTTTGTGTCCTGTTGGGCTCCTAGCCGACGGTCCAGTGTTACTGGGTTGTGCTGGGGGTGCGTTCATTTCATGTCTCCTTTCCTTATTGATCTTGTTTTTTCTTATTATATTTCCTATATAAAATAAGCATATGAATTTTTATCATTTCAATAAATGAACTTTTTTATTATGCGGATCTTTCTCAATTCATCCCGCATGCAAATAAGGAGACAAAATATCGTCTGCTTTGAATGTAAGTTATAGGGATAAAATGATATTATGTCATTAGAAATAAATGTAAGAAAGATAAGTACAAAATAAGCCCAACAAAGCTATTTATGCTTCAAGCGTTCCTGTATAGATGCAAATAGGATAGACTAATAGGCTACATTTATCTCAAAATCCCTGATTTAGTTGACAAATCACAATTGACCAATTATGGTCTCAATTTTAGATAGTGTTCTTATAAGAAGTATGTGAGAATAATAAATTCCAATCTTTGTCACAGTTGCAGAATTTCAAGTACGCGCCATCTTCTTTATTGTCCATTTAGAGAGAAATCTGTAATGATTCCCAAATTATGCTATTATTGTGTTTCTGACGTAACCATGTCTGGGAGGTTTCAAATTATCTTTGCTATTGAACATACAATGTATAATTATTTATAAATAGACCATAACTATTTCACGCATAAATAATGTGTAATTACAATTGTCTCAAGCCTTGAACGCTCTAATTGTGAATGTAATACAACAAATATAAAGAAATTTAATACATTGACAAAATACAGACTCCTCTTTTTACTTATTTGTATGCACTTTTAAACAATGCTCCTTGTTGCTCATGACTAGTTTAGTAGCAATACCATCTGCGTTAATGGCTCACACAAGATTGCAATTTGTGATGTAAAACAGACAGATTTCATAACTTCCCGATGGAAAACAGTTAAACATTTTTAAACAGATTTTTTTATACAGAAGTGTCATGTGTATGATTTAAATGAGTCTTATTGTACTTCTGTTATTGTGAATTACTAGTTCTGTAATTTAAATAAACAATAATATGCACGCTTGAGAATAAGTATTTTATTTATAAGGCAGATATAACTTTATGAAACAAGTACTTAGATGATTTCTATGTGTCAAAAACACATTTGCTATTTCAGTTAGACTTTGTCATTTATGATTGATGATGACTATATTTAATATAAAATTATGTCCTTGGTAAAAGTGCAAACCTTTTTTTTCTTTTAGTACCAAATCCAGGCTAAAATGACTATTAAAAGATCAACTTGGTTGATAGAACTATTTTCTACGTTATTTTTTGGCTGTACTTTATTCGTATCATCGTAATAATGGTAACAGCAATTGGCCATTTGGAAATTAATAATATGGTTTATTTGTTAATATGTTTAGATAACGATCCAGTTTAAATTGTTTAAAACATGTCGTTTTGATATTGTTTGATTCATTATAATTCTAAAAATAGAAAAGAAGAAATGATATGAATGAATATAATTATGTTTTACAGTAGTTTCTGTTTTATAATAATGATATATCTATTTGTAGTTTGTTAGACGATATAAATTGCATACCTTAAGGAGAAGATTATTACAACTAATGTATTATATTAAGGCATTTGATGGCTTAAGTTGTTGAATGTTGAATTCTGCTTAAGCCGGTGCTAGGGGGCGTGGACGGTAGTTTGCACTTGACAGTACTGTCCATGAACAGGCTCAATCAAACCGAGCCTGCAACATTTTCAATTTTGTCGTGTTGGGCTTTCTTTAGGGATTCTTATTTCTCTCTATTTTATCGCCACATCAGCGTTGTTTGTGCCGTGTGGAGGCCGTAAAAAGTCGCCCCGTACATTCAATCAGGGATGTTATATTTCCGATCCTTAAAGATCGTTCAGCGCGACATAATTGTTGTGCTTGTGGTATTTATGTTCTTTCTATTCGGCATCTTTCTTGTTAGGGGTTCAAGTATTCCTAACTTGAATACTGTTGAATCACCCTTAGGATATGTGGCCTGCTTTTTAAATTTGTCTTTTGGCTTCATATTCTCAGATCTCCTTTCAAATTTCCATTTTATTTAATTCCGCCCATTGTTTTCTCGTTTAGGGCACTAGCATTTTTTTTACTTGGGGACCATATGCCGCTTTTCATGGAATGGCACTAACGTGTCACATGGAAGGTTCCATGATAACCGCCATATGAACACATCTGCGGATGTTGCAAAATTCTAAATTTTATTAGTTCATGTTAAATTTTGAATTCTGCTTAAGCCGGTGCTAGGGGCGTAGACGGTAGTTTGCACTTGACAGTACTGTCCATGAACAGGCTCAATCAAACCGAGCCTGCAACATTTTCAATTTTGTCGTGTTGGGCTTTCTTTAGGGATTCTTATTTCTCTCTATTTTTACACCTTTTGACTTCTAAGTTGAAAGTTTTCTTATATGGCACAGTCAATTTGTGGATTGCTGAGATTCTTTAAAGACTTGAAAAGGTAAAAACATATGGACGTAACATACAATGTATTTATTTGTTTTCTAATTAACCTTTTTCGTTTTTTCTTGGAAATGCATTTTTCTTTAATTTTATTACATACTGTGTTTTCTATTTTGATAATGCGTAAAATGTAAGTGGTTAAGTAATGTGATGATATCTTTCCTTAAAAAGATTCGGTAATCATTGTCTTCTACATAGACAAAAATAATGTAAAAATATATTTACATAACACGTTTTATCAATTTTAACAAAAATAAATGACATCCATTAAGTCACTTTTCAAGTATTCCCACTAAGTAAAAGAATCACTTAAAATGAGGACGCCATTTTTCAAATAAGAAGAAGATGTCCGGAAAAAGAGGATACAAATAAACAAGTAAGTAAAGGAATCCAGAAAAGTGACGAAACAAAAAATCTTAAAGTAAAAGGATATAATTGGTAACCACATTAAAATGTATAGACGTGCCTCGAAATACAAAGAAAAAAACGTAATATAAAGGTATGTACAGCTACGATTTTTAGTGCACATATACTGAAACAGCGCTGATCAGACATGATTCAATATACTATACAAAGAACCCCGGGTTCTATGATTTCACGGTACTTAACGTTTATTAGAAAATATTTAAATGTTAAAACCATGTGTGAATGAGATTTTTCTTCTATTTAATATGTGATCCTTTTCCAAACTGTCTGTCAAAGAATTATTTCTAATGATCCAATTTAAATGTCATCTATTTCAATTGTCTGCTAATTTGTGTAATTACAGAGGCGAATACTACGGTATCACGGTAATTCCCAAAAATGCAAGTATTGAAGGATAGACGTGTCATAATATTCAAATTAAGTTGTGGAAAACTTCCAACAGCTAACTTGCTATAGAATTCAAGCTATATGAACAGTTCATGTACCAGAATATTGGATTATAACATATTTCAATTGACTTTGTAAAAAACGATTTAGGAAAATAGTAGTCAAATATAAAGATTTTATGGAATGTTTTCTTACAAGGAATGTATTCATTATTCAAAAAATTAAATTTATTGACGGATGCTATGCGATTTCATGTCACAGTTTTCAGAAAAGTATCATCAACATTTATTGCTTTCACATACAGTCACAGAAAACGTAAATACCGTGATGTCATAGAACCCGTGATGTAATAGGAACTGGGTTTATACTGTCATATGACCATAGTTATCTCTTTTTGCCTAATTAACGATAAGCGTTTATTTTACACAAAATCTGAAAAAATCTGGGCGTGATCCTGACAAATTCGAAGCCACAATCACTTGGTTGAGATTTTGACATTATAATCTTATTTCCATCAAGGACACCTTAGCATTTATTTGCGGACAAATGTTGCTCGTTAATGATTTATGAGATCTCGTGAAATTTGTTTCAGTAACATTGTGTCACCTACCGCTAATGGCCGCGTCCATGACTTGAAAGGTACTTGTAAATGTTTCGATGATAATAAACATACACCCAGTTACATGTACTAATAATAATGGTGCATATTTTTCTTATGCAGCTCTGGTACTTTTCCCGTTATGCTTGCAGGCATTTGAGCCACAATTTTACCGCATATTTACATCATAATATTGCTGCATTAAAACATTTCTGCAAGCATACAGTAATGAAGATGTACAAGAGCTTCAAAAGACCCTCTCAAAATGAATAGTCATGATTAAGTTTTAGACAAGGCTAAGGCTCGTTGGTCTAGGGGTATGATTCTCGCTTCGGGTGCGAGAGGTCCCGGGTTCAATTCCCGGACGAACCCAACTTTTTTGGTATTCGTATGCATCAATAATATGAAACTTAAATACATTAATAAGAAATAAAAATATCATCATAATAAGATCACTTTTAAATTGAATTTAGTTTAATATTATTTATATTTAAGGTTTTTGTTAATTTTTATATTATTAAATTTAACTCAAAGTCATAAACGTATATTAAATATCCAAAACTCATAATTATATATGTGAGGTCAATTAACTGGCCGTCAACCACTTGCAAAACAGTCATCTATATTTTGTAATTTATATAACTGTTTTTTCCTCTTTTATATTAAATAAATGTCACAGCACATACGTGTATAAACAATAAATAGGTAGAAATCACACTTTACTTTATCATAACATAATAATATAGATATTAATATCACACTTTACTTTATCATAACATAATAATATAGATATTAATTTCTCAAATCACTGAAAATTTGGTTGAATATCAAAACTAATATAAACCTGATTAATTCTCATATCTAAGCACTATTTAAGTTTACATTTAGCAACGTATGTTAGATTTGTGTGGTGGCGGTGGTGGTACCATAGCAAATGAGGATTAACCGAGGCGTGGTTATTGCTAGTTGAAAACTTTACCCAATACCCACGTCGACGCCCTAACACATGGGTGGTGTGCGCAATTAATATTATGAACTTTCCAACGGAACTGACACAATAAACGAGTAAATGAAAGTAAAGTACGAGGGGGATATAAGCTGTCTATTTCTACTCGTATACAAATGATTAGTCAAATCTTTCAAAACATCCACTTGGTATAGTTTGTGTTGACAGGAATGATATGGTTAGCACTCTGGTTCAGAATGTACGTTATATGCCTAAAAGAAATGGTAAACTGAGTAAAGCTTACAAATCCTTTACGCGAAATAGGCCAGGGAAGGGAGGAGTAATTGCGGAAACGGAATTTCAGGTAATTGGTAAGTGGGACGATTTCGAAAGAGTTCGTAGTTCCACGTGGAGAGAAAATGAAGCTGTAAGTAGAGTGATTAAGAGCAATGCACATGTATTAAAGAATAAGCAAGTTCAAGTATTGTCTGATAATAAAAATGTTAAATCCATTTTATTAAACGGAAGTAAAATTCCAAGTATTCAAAAAACGGCATTAGATTTAGACATTTTTTGTGAAAATGAAAGTATTGTTTTATGTCCGGAATGGATTCCTCGGGAACATAATGAGCTTGCAGATTATCTGAGTCGCTGTAAAGATCATGTGGTGCAAGATAAAGGATATTGTTGGGACGTGCTAAAGTTCACTAAGGTACGTGCAAGTGTTTAGTCTATCTTTCGAAATACATGTAGATGACGTATTCCCCCAAAACATTGAGTCTTTGTTTGAAATGACTAAAACATTAAATTTAATACGATAGTATCAATTTAAAAAAAAAATAAAATGAGATTAATCATTGACACTCTTGTATAAAATTGAATGCAATGCTACAAGCAAAAAACATTTTGAATGCTGTTAAAGATAGACAATAAGATTCTTTTTTAAAAACCTAATTTAAATTCGTGTAAGCACTTTAATTGCGCTAGAGAAAATCTGTTTCTTATGACATTAATTTACAAACTCATGATTGTGAGCAATGGGCTTGAATGCGGTTCGTAAGTAAGCAACTTGGTCAATTAAACATACACATCTATGCATTGCTTTTTGTCAAATAAATTATTAAGATTTAGTTGTAGCTTGCTGGTCTTCATTATAAAGCAATTTAGTTTTTTTACAACTATTTTCCCATACTGCTTGACTTTGTCCCACAAACACGTCATTCTTTACATTTTGAAATTATTGTCATATTCTGCAACAGATATGCCGATAGACAGCATCAAAATTATACTTTATCAAATCCTCTGAAAACAAGAAATTCAAGTTAATCAATATATACCAAACATGATATATTTGCCCTTGGCACGGTTTCTTGGTAGAAAATTCTTCTTTAATTCAATGATTTCAGAATAATTGTCAATCTAAAGAATTTCTAGTATGAGATTAAACACAACGTTTCTCAGGATATTATTTGCGCTGACAAAATAATAGGATTACGAAACTTCTAAAATAGAAACATAATATAATTTTCCCTGAATTATTTATTGGTCTATTGTATTTTAAGGATTAAGTGTTGATACGAGTGAGCAGTGACTGTGGCATCGGGAGATATAGTAATTTAATTACAATATTGTAAAAGCAAGGTTTTCGAATTGATATCCCCGGCGAATGATTCAAATCACTCAATTGCAGCTTTTGTATTTTGTACAATTTTCAATGTTATTTACAATAACACTCAATTTGTATAATACACAAAAATATGAGCAAATCAAATATGTATAAAAGGGAAAGGTCACTGTGAGTTTTTCATAAAACAAAAAATAGGTAGATTAGGACAACAGTATAGATTTATGTTTGTAAGCTGATATATCATATTTATAAATCTAGTTTTTAGTTTTCGTTCTACCTTATTAAAAAATGTTTAGTACCGTTTGATCGAAAAAAAAGTAATCTAGTTGCGTAAACCGTGGGAAATCATTGACCACACGACACAAATAGTATAATCAAATGTAGAGTTATGTATCTTTATGTACTAAATCACTTTTAAATGATATTTTAATGTTGGTAATAAAATACAATTTCAGATGTATGCCCCCTCTATCAATCTATGAAGTTTCAAGTTACTTTATCAAATGCTTTTTTGTTTTGATCCTAAAACAAATTAATGAGAAAAATTACAAATGACACTAACGCAATATTAACTACAACATCATATAAAAGAGAGAATGGTTAAAAAAAACGTGCACTTTGTTATATATGTTTGGGATAACTATTTAATTTGAATGTTTAATATTTGCAACTGATAATTACAAGGGGAACAACCAAAAATAATATTTGGATGGACACCTTTCTGTCGTTATCGCCACTGACTCTTGAACTTTGTAACATACACTTCAGGTCAATTCCTTTTAAAACATTGAAGTGTGCGAGTTTGATATTTAAAAAAATCAAATCATTTAATTAAATATATTTTTGTCTCTTCATGTTCATCAGCAAACACTAATGTTTATGAACGAGCTTATATATCCATGGATATTCAGCTTATCTTGATGTTGATGAACCATATTATTGACGCTTCTTTACTTTTATAGATGTTGAACAAATAAATGATAGTTCTTACTGTTAATGAACACATAAACTTGTACCCACAGGGTTAATACAATTTTATATGAACATTTCTTTGAAGAAGAAAGTATTTATTAACTTAAAACATACCAACTAATTATGCTGATGACCAAAGGTTCGAATACGTACTTATACCATCTTTTAGAGTTAAAGCACAGCAGCTTTAAAGCGCCCTTCAGCTTTTCTAGATGTTAGATATGTTATTTTTAGATAAATCTATTCATATAATTGTCAAATCAAAAGAATTAAGATGGAAAATAAAAATTGCCGTCGATAAAATACATAAACAATAAGGAAACCACTTGATACTCCTAATGTCTGCTGTGTACGAGTATATGTACATTATATATTAAAGCGACCGATTCTTTCCCCGATCTTCTATTTTCAGAAACGAGTGTCACTTGTGCTCTGTAAGTATAGGTTTAAGTTTATTAGAATAAATTGGTCAGGCGCGGCGCAAATCCTGTGTTATTTATGTACAGATTCGACTTATACTTGAATAATTCAGATTTATTTTAAAAGGATGTGAAGGAACTTTTATACAACATGACCGCATAAACTAATTAGTGAACTAATCTCCCTTATTCAAAAAAATTCTGCACGTCAAAAATTTACCTTCCTGATGAAAAGATGGAGATCTTATATTTTAAGACATCATAATTAATATTGTTCTTTAATTTCCTTGTCATTTTCTATGATTTGCTAAATTTTTTAATTATTTAAATTGTCACATCCTCCATTCTTTGCTCATGTGCACTGTCCTGTTTTTGTTTAGTGTCCTGTTGAGCTCCTTGAGGGATGCATTCATTTTATGCCTCCGTTCCTTCTTTATCTTGTTTTTTTATATTATATCCACTGTGTCCGAATTGTCTTATAAAAACAGCATATGAATTCAATCATACATTAAAGAACTGATTTTAATTCCAACCCGCAAACATGTAAGATGACAAAATATTGTCTGCTTTAAATGTAAAGAATAGGGATAAAATGATATTATGTCTTTAGAAATAGAAGTACATTGTAAACGCAAAAGAGCTATGTATGCTTTAAGCGTTTCTGTATATTACAAATAGGTATATTTTATAGGCTAAATTTATCTCAAAACCCCTGATTTAGTTGACAAATCACAATTAACATTAATTGACCAATTATGGTCTCAATTTTAGATAGTGTTTTTATAGGAGTATGTGAGAATAATAAATTCCAATCTTTGTCACAGTGGCATATTAAGCACGCGCCATCTTCTTTATTGTCCATTTAGAGGGAAATCTGTAATGATTCCCAATTATGCGATTATTTTGTTTCTGACGTAACCATGTCTGGGAGGTTTCAAATTATTTTTGTTATTGAACATACAATGTATGATAATTTATAAGTAGACCATAACTATTTTGCGCATAAATAATGTGTAATTACAACTGTGTCAAGCCTTGAACCCTCTCATTGTGCATGTATTATAATATTTATAAAGAAATTAGATATATTGACAAAATACAAAGACTCTAATTCCAACTTCATAGGCACTTTTAAGCAATGCTCCTTGTTGCTCATGACTAGTTTAGTAACATACCATCTGCGTTATTGACTCATTGCAATTTGTGATGTAAAACAGACAGATTTCATAACTTCCCGATGGAAAAGTGTCAAACATTTTAAAACAGATTATTTTGTATACAGACCTAAGTGTCATGTGTATGATTTAAATGAGTCTTATTTTACGTCTGTTATTGTGAATTACTAGCTTTTTCAGGGAAAACAATAATATGTACGCTTGAGAATAAGTATTATATTTATATGGCAGATATATCTTTATGACACAAGTACTTAGATAATTTTCATGTGTCAAAAATCCATTTGCTATTTCAGTTAGACTTTGTCGTCTATGATTGATGGTGGCTATTTTAAATACATTAAAGTGTGTCCTTGGTAAAAGTGCAAACATTTTATTTTGTTTTTCTTTCAGTACAAAATCCAGTCTAAAATGACTAAAATATCAACTTGGGTGATAGAACTATTTTCTACATTATTTTTGGCTGTACTTCATTCGTATCATCGTAATATAACAATCATTGACCATATGGAAATAAATAATGTAGTTTATTCGTTAATATTTTAGATAACGATCCTGTTTAAATTGTTTAAAACATGTCGTTCTGATAGTGTTTGATTCATTATTCTAAAAAAGAAGAAATAGTATAAATGAATATAATTATCTTTCACAGTAGTTTCCCTTTTATAATAATTATCTTTTTTGTAGCTTGTTTGACGATCTAAATATCATACCTGGAGGAAAAGAGTATTACAAACGTATCATATTAAAACGTGTGATGAATTACAATTTTTGTCTCCTAGGTTAAAGGTTTTCTCCTGCGGTACGGTCAATTTGTGGATTTCTGGGATATTCACAATTTCTTAAAGAAATGAAAAGGTAAAACATTTGAACATAGCACACAATGTATTGATTTTTTCTAAATAACCCTTTTCGTGCTTTTTTCTCTTGAAAATTCTTCTTTCTTTACTTTTATTACATTCGGTGTTTTCTATTTAAATAATGCGTAAAAATACAAGTCCATGGTTAAGTAATGCAATGCTCTCTTTCCTTAAAAATAGATTCGGTAATCATTGTCTGCTACATAGAAAATAAATGTAAAAATATTTTTACATTACGCGTTTTATCAATTTTAACAAAAAAAATGACATCCATTAAGTCACTTTTCAAGTATTAAAAAAATCATGTAAAGTGAGGACGCCACTTTTCAAATAAGTAGAAGATGCACGGAAAAAGAAGATACAAATTGACAAGTAAGTAAAGGAAGCCAGAAAAGTGACGAAACAAAAAGTCTTAAAGTAAAAGGATATAATTGGTGACCACATTAAAATGTGTAGACATGCTTCGAAGTACAAAGAAAAAAAACGTAATATAAAGGTATGTACAGCTATGATTTCTCAATGCACATGGCATCGCATATTACAATTATGTACAATGATTCAAATTTGAATATACTGTACAATGTGTACAATATGTGCATAGTTATATAATGTTGCCTAATTAATGATAATCTCTGAGCTGACTTAAAATATGACGGGACTTGGGCGTGATCCTGACAAATTTGAACCAACATTCCTTTGTTTGAGATTAAGACATAATACTCAATATTTTTATCAAGCGTAGTTAAACATTCTTTTTGGATCAGTATAGCACATTTTGATACAGTTATGTAATTGTATAGAACAAAGTTCTGTTTGATGAACATTTATACCGTTGTTTATTATTCCTAAAACATTTAAATGCAAGTTAATATTTTGAGAAAACACGATGCGTGATCACGCGGAATTTGTTGACATTGTATCACCGCTAATTTCGATATATCTTTAAATATTTGAATAATTAACATATACCGTATACCATGTTACAGGCAAATATTTGTCAATTCCAATGGTTCTTATTTTCTATGTAGCTCTTGTGCTTTTCCCGATGTGCTTGCAGAAATTTGTGACACAATTTTACCGTATATTTTCATCAAAATATTACTAATTTTGATAAACGGGTAAAGTGCAAAAGCTACATAAGAAAAACGAATTGTCATAATTAAGTTTCACATACAAGGCTCGTTGGTCTAGGGGTATGATTCTCGCTTCGGGTGCGAGAGGTCCCGGGTTCAATTCCCGGACGAGCCCAACTTTTGTTCCCCTTTTATTTATTAATAACCTAAGGAATAAAAAAACTCCTCAAATTTTATATCACTATCAATTTACTTTTAGTTTTATATTATCTATATTTAATTTATTATTAGTTTTTCATTACATTTATCAGATATCCAAAACTCAGAATTACGGGCTGTTAAGTCAACTAAATAACTCGGTTACAATTTCTTACAGACACACAATTATTTAGTAAATAATATAGCTTTTTTCCCTCTTAAATATTAAATAAAAATTGCATAGTTTTATCAATATAGTATATTCCCAAACAGCTCGTATAATATGCTTGATACACATTGTCTGCATTGTATTGGGGTTTTTTTTGTATATAAAATTTGCAAAAACAAAAATACACTCGAGAATGAGCTTTCTTTGAAAAAAAAAAAAGTTTCAATAAAGCATACATGTACAAACAATAAATAGATAGAAATCACACTTTCCTTTATCATAACTTAAGACTAAAAATATTTCTGAAATCAGTGAAACTTTGGTTGAATATTCATTAATAAATGTGAGAGGAGCGTTCAAAGACAAAACAACTTTTAAAATCAAATGGGTCTTTCCCGCAAAAAGGGATTTAAAAGCGGAACATCTCGCACACAAAGTTAAGCTAAAGTTATGAGCCATTTATGTTTCACATACTCGTATTAACGCTGAAAATTCCAATAATTGAATTGTTTCAATAAAAACAGGATAATCTTAATACTCAGAAGTGTTGAGAACCAAATCTCAAACCAAGTCCCTGGAACTGACTGTTTAATAGTTTTGTGTTAGCAGTTATAAACTTGATTTTGTTGCATTTCATTTAACCGTCAATGCATAAACGACTGGGTCGCTAAGCAACATGAAACAAAGGGACGTAATATAATTTGATTAAAACATGCTAAACATTCCAGGACTTGTCCCAACATGTAGATGGGGAATGTATATTATCTCATTTTAATTCATTCTAAGATATGTTCTTGTTCTATAAAACTAACTGATACCGGAATAATTGTCATATTTAAGCACAATATTAAATTTACGTTTAGCAACGTATGCTAACTTTGCGCAGTGGCGTTATATAGCCAAAAAGGTTTATCCGAGTTTTTGTTATTGCTAGTTGAAAACTATACCCTATACCCCGCGCCAACGCCCTGAAACATGGGCGACGAGCGCAATTTAGGAACTTTCCTACGGGAACTAACGCAAAAAAAACCCCAAAAAACAGTTAATGAAAATACGAGGAGAGAGGCGGGCTATGTATGTCCAAATCACAGTAAGTATTTAGCTATTACGTAATGTTTTAAATTATGAATATATTAAAATTGTATACTGAATTTTATCATTGATATTTTTTTATTAAATAAAGAATTAGCTTTTACTTAATGCTTTAATTTTGTATATAATTTATAACTTCTTATTGCCAAGGTTTTACTTTGTGATAGAAATTGCCTGCAAATCTGCTTGCTACTATACTACTATACTCCTGTGTTGTTTTCTTTTGGCTGTTTTTTTTTTCTTTTTTCTTTTTTTTTCAAATGCAAGCAACAATTAATATCATTTTAACCTTGTAATGTAATAAAGTGGCTGCAGGATAAGCAAGAAGGAATTTCTAACAATTATTTTAAGAAGTTTGTGTACAAATGTGTAAAAGTCAGTAATGCCAAGTAGCCTCTTACAATTCTGTTTAAATTAGAGTGGCTATGTGCGATGTATATGTTAAACTTTTATGTATTCATGTTATGAATTCTACAACGAAAAGGACTTAAAGGACTTAAAGCTGCACAACTCCAAATGACGCAAAATATTTTTTTTTTAAATATTGTGAAAAATGCACTAAACTTTTAAGAAAGGTAAAAACATTCAAGATCCAAGTTATATTTTACATGTTATGTGCGGTTTAACACTGATTTTGCAGTATTTTATCACCATATTTCAGTAAGGGCTGTTTTTGCATATGTTGAGCACTTTTTGGTAATTTTCGTGGATTGTAAGTGCCGATTGCAATATGGAAATTACTTCATTTGTTCATCTCATATTATTATACTTTTAAATACATTTCCAAATTTTTTATGAAAATTAACATGAATCTGGAGACGTGCTACTTTAAATAAAGTATTAAAACTGATTGGTCAAAAAATCTACTTGGTATGGCTTTTTTGCGGGTGGTATAAAAAGCACTTTGAATACAAAATGAGGAGACCTCCCATGAAATTTTTGATATTTACTTGAACCTGAAATCATAAAGTGCAAGATCAATTATGTTACGCTTCAACTCTTTGTCACTTATACCTGCAAGTGTTAAGTCTCACTATTGATATCATATTCCCCCAAACTGTGACTATAAGTAAAATGACTAAAACAGCATTGTTTATCATCTAGCATTTACTTGATCATATCATATTCCATTGTCACTCTTGTGTCAAATTTAATGCAATGCAGCAGGCAAAGACCAATTTTGATTATGTGGGAAGCTGTTAAAGATAAACATATTCAGATTCTTTGTTAAAACTAATTCGAATTTGTGTAAACACTGCACGTAATACACCAGAGAAAATCTGTTTGCAATGACATTTATTTAAAACTCACGATTGTAAGAAATAGACATACACATCTATGCATTGCTTTTCTTGTCAAATGAATCATTAATGTTTAGTTGTGGCTGGTTTTGATTACAAAGCAATTTAGTTTTTTACAACTATTTTCCCATACAGCATCGGCTTTGTCCTATTAACATGTCATTCTTTACAGTTAGAAATTATTATCATATTCTGCAACAGATTTGCCGACGGACAGTATCAAAATAGTACTTTATCAAATCCTCTGAAAACAGGAACTTCAAGTTAGTCAATATGATACCAAACATGATATTTTTGCCCTTGGCACGGTTTCTAGGTGTAGAATTCTTCTTTAATTCAATGTTTTCAGAATATTTGTCAATCTAAATAATTTCTAGTATGAGATTAAACACCACGTTTCTCAGGATATTATTTGCACTGACAAAATAATAGGATTACGAAACTTCTAAAATAGAAACATAATATAATTTTCCCTGAATTATTTATTGGTCTATTGTAATTCAAGGATTAAGTGTTGATACGAGTGAGCAGTGAATGTGGCATCGGGAGATACAGTAATTTTATTACAATATTGTAAAAGGAAGGTTGTCGAATTGATATCCCCCGGCGAATGATTCAAAACACTTAACTGCAGCTTTTGTATTTTGTACCACAGGACATAAATATTAATTCAAATGTAGAGTTACTATTTTATGTACTAAATCACTTTTAGGTGACATTTTAATGTTGATAATAAAATACAATTTCAGATTTATCCTCCCCTCATGATGTTTCGAGTTACTTTATCTAAAAATTATGCTCTTTTTTGTTTTGATAATAAATAAAATTAATGTGAGAATTTACAATTGACAATAACGCAGTAACTCCAAAATCATATAAAAGAGAGTAATGATTAAAACAACAACGTGCACCTCGTTAATGGTAAAGTCTGATTTTATTGACCTGTCAATTATGAATACATTATAGGACTCATTTAAATATTCGATCTCACTTCGGTTTGGTCCGTGTAGTTTACGAGAATTAATGTGGAGTATTTTAGTCATGGATTGAAAGTCACGCCAGCTTAATGCGAAGGTTTTCGTTAATTCACAATAGCACAGTCGGCTAAGAGAATGCCTGGTAATTGAGAGGTCTCTCGAACCTTACTGTTGTCATTGTTTTAGTACTCTTTATTGTTGCAGTATATTTTAATGGAACAGATTTGTAGTGTGTTTTACGGCATTGAAAAGATATTTATTGATTTTAATCCGTTTTAATTTTAAACATGAATTCTTAAAACATGTTATTAAAAAAGAGTATAGATATATCAAAATTAAGTAAAACATAATAAATCAAAACGAACAACATAAAATAATCATATATAGCTTCAATAATATTGAATGTATTAATAAGAAGAAAAAAACTGGACCAACGCAGTCTCGAACTTAAAACACGCGTGGCACTTATATTATAAACTCGTGCTTTACCCTATTGCGCTATAACGCTGATTACACTTAGTTTAGAGATACAAATTAAATTAAATTCCATCGTACAGCGTACATCGCACGGAACTTACCGAAATTCTACCGAAGATTTATATACTGTGTGCATCGACCGTGTAATAAGTATGTAATTGTCAGGTTAATAAAACCAAACAATATACATATTTATTTCGAATATTTAATATTTGCAACTGAAAATAACAAGGGGAACAACTCATAATAATATTTTGATAGATATATTTCTGTTGTTATCGCCACTGATTTTTGAACATGTTGGACAAACAATTCTGATCCATTACTTTAAAAATATTTAAGTAGTGCCCACGTTCAAAATGACAGAATATACATTTTTTATTAATAGTCATGTCTGTTGTGAAAATTAGTAGATAGGTATCACAATTAAAATACACATGATCAATTGTATGGTGACTGATTTCTGCCATTTCCAATTCGTGTCTTCGTGTCTTCGCCCCTCGAAAGTCAATGCGAAGACATGATAATATGCTCACTTATCGTGATCCTAGATATGTGAAGGCGCCAACACGAAGACACGATATATTTTAGACGAAATAACGATATTTTCATAGGCGAAGACACAAGATCTTCTTCTGCAGAATTATTGTGTCGGCGGCTAGAAATCTTGGTATCGGCGCCCTATATTTGTCTTGTCGTCGCCTCAAACTACGAAAGGCGAAGACACGATAATTGGCCAATTTATCGTGTTTTCGAGTTTCGGGGCGAAGACACGACGACACAAAGACTCGATGTTGTTTGTTTTGGTTTTTTCAGGCCCCACATGGGGTAACCCCATTTATTCGCATCGTCACATAACCATTTATGGGTTTAAGCACATCCCATAGTGGTTTTACAATTATTTTTGTCATGCATAGGAACGGGTATACTAATGTAGTGAAAGAAAAGAAAAACCAACAATTACAAAAAAACATGAAAAGAAAATAACACAAAAACAACAACAATAAAATACAAAGAGACAAGGACGACACATGCATTCACACTCGCACTCATAACCGTATTTAAAAAAAATAATTTCAAAAGCATCAACATTTTATAAAATCTAATGCAAGCTATTTTGGCTTGAATATTTTCTTAATTACATAAACTCAAACAATACTTTTCAGTGTAGAAATAGGATTTTCTCTTAACATTTTAAATTGATGTTGATTCCAAGACAATTTCTATCTTCTTTTTATACTGTTTGAAAATATTTCATTTTCTCTTTCCACACAACCTAAGTTTTATCAAAATTAACATTAAGTTCCCGACAGTTGTGCAAAATCTGACAAGATTTCCAAAGATTTATTTCAAAACGCACTTTATCAATCTCAAGTTATTGTTGTGCCATCTCTGCAAAGTGTGACAATTTATGTTCTACATTGTTAATGTTTAATTAATTTAATATTCCTTTAATAATCTTGTCATTTCTTCAGTATAAAATACTTGTCGGCAGCCTCTACCTTTTTTGACAAAATGTGATAAAAACACATTCATATACAGCAGAAGTTGCACCTTTATATAAAATATCAAACCATTTTTGTTATAGATGTACCTAAGTTAAAAACAGTATTCTGTACAAATGACCAAGAGAGTGAATAAAAAGCTTTTTCTAAATCTATTAAAAGAAAAGGTCCAGGAATGTAATTTTTTCAGTGTACTGCATGATATCATAAATAAGACGGGTATTTTCTCAAATATATCTTCCTTTGATAAAAACTTTTTGATCTTTATTCATTAGTTTATCTAGAGTAAGTTTTATTCGATTTGCTATGCAACCTGCAGCAATTTTGTATACCGTAATAAAAAGTGTTATAGGTCTCCAATTTTTCACGAATTTTTTAAGTTTATTTTCTTTTGGAATACATGTTATTACACCTACTGTTTGGGTTTCGGACAATTTATTCGAAGTATAAGCATTATTGATAGCTCTTAGAACAAAAGGACCTAAATCTTTTCAGAATACCTTAAAAAATTTACACAAAAGCCTGATGTCTCCGGGCTTTCGCTATTGCCATATTTTGTAAAATTTTACTAGCTTCTTCATAATTTATATAGCCTTCTAATACATTGGATTCCGATTCACTTAAAACCGATGCTCCTATATTTTCCACAAATTGAAAAAAAT